TGTCATTTACAATATTTGAACCCTAGAATAAAAACAATGATGCTGCATAAATCAAATTTTTTGTTTTAATAAGTGGCATTTATTCATTGATTTGTTACAGACGCCGTCTACCGCAGAGAAATGGTTAGAAATTTCGAGTGAGTTTGATCAGCAGTAGAATTTTCCACACTGCCTAGGTGCAATAGATGGAAAACATGTAGTTTTGCAGGCTCCTGTAGGTAGCGGCAGTGAATACTTCAATTACAAATCATTTTTTAGTATTGTCTTGTTTGCATTAGTAGATGCAAATTATAATTTTGTATTTGCGGATATTGGATGTCAGGGACGTATTTCCGATGGAGGAGTCTTCAAAAACAGTTTGTTATGGAAAAAAATAGAAGATAATAGTTTGGCATTTCCTGAAGCAGCAATTCTTTCAGGACAGCAAAATATTATACCATATGTTATTCTCGGTGATGATGCATTTGCACTACACGAACATCTCATGAAACCATATGCAGGTTTACATAAACAAAGGTTCTTTGGAAATAATTTTCAATTATAGAGTATCAAAAGCACGAAGAGTGGTTGAAAATGCCTTCCGAATTGCATCTGCTGTTTTCCGAGTGTTAAGAAAACCAATGTTGCTAGACCCAAATAAAGCAGCACTTGTTGTATTAACTACCCTTTACTTACATAATTTCCTAAGAAAAAGTAATATTTCATGTAATATATACACTCCTAGAGGAACACTGGACTACGAAGAGAATAGGGTGTTAATTTAAGGAAGTTGGCGACACGAACAACCCCCCAAGTGAATCATTTCTTTCTGTGAGGAAGGTTCCAAGGAAATCGAGTAATGGTGCTCAAGAAATTAGAAGTGAAATAGCTGCATATTTTATGAATAATGGAAGTGTAGCTTGGCAAAATGATTATGCATAAAAATGTGCTTATTGCTTTAATAAAAATTATACAGTTTGAACGTAAAGGTTTTGTACCTAACTAATTCAATAAAATGTTTATGCTCGGACACGACGATTTTTATTTTTATTGAGTCATTTTATAACATACAAAAATCTGCCTTCCCTTTCATTCCCTCAATGTAATAGCCACCCCCACAATTCTAAACGAAGATAACAAAGAAGTCATTTTTGTTTTGACCGATTCTGTGTCGCTATTCATTTCTGTGGCAATTTGAAGCCAAGCATCATGCTTTTTTTTTCTAAGATGGTAATTTTTATTACCACAATCCCATAATTCAGGCTTTCCTTCATATAAATTTATTAATTGTAAAATTTTCTCGTGGTCCCAGTCACTCATGTTCTATATTGCACGCGCGCACTACACACTTTAAATAATTACGTCCAAACTGAGCTTCGTTCCACGTGCAAATGTCTTTGATGTACCGACAACAAGCGGAACATAATTGCTCGTGCTCGAAGGCTTGCGAATTCGCGCGTTCGTGCGCAGTAAAGCGTCCTAACTAGTCATGTTCGTGTAATTTTGTAACGTTCGCGAACGTTTTGCGCGGTATTGCGCTGCGGTCTGGACGCACCTTTATAATCCTTCGGAACTTGTCAAAAGAAACCGGGATGGTGTGTTTACTTATGCAAATATTTTTGTACTCTTCGAACAAGTTCGAATTATTATATTCCATGCACATATAAACTCTATCAGGATTTACTAACCGGGAATAATGACTTTCATACTTGGGCAGGCTATCTATGAAATCACGGACTCTCTGTATTTTTTTATGTTGAATATGTCGTCCGCGTCCATCTCTTTCTGGTAACATCATAACTTGATTGTTTTTTAGCTTTTTCACTAAACATTCAATACGTCCTCTACCCATTCCATGCAAACTGATAAAGGCATCTTTGCAAACTGTTTTTTTTTTCAACAACGCAGCAAATAGTCGGTGCTCGGTGGGTATCACGCTTTTTAGTTTTTTGTTTTATGTTTTGTGTACTGAAGCATCCCATTAAATACGCGTTTTGTATGTCGTATTCTTTTAAACCCCAAAATTTTAAAGTCATTATTCACGCAGGGTGACGTTTGCATCCCGAGCCGTAGGCGAGGGGCGCAAGTCACCCGAGTGAATAATGGCCATAAATTGCGAGTCTAATACTATACTTTGTCTACGACAATTATGGTTTCTTTATTAAATAAAAGTTAAGTGTAGAATGCAAAGTTTTGATTAAACATAGGTAACTGTTGTTTTTTCCACTTTATTTTTCGATTTTCTATTTTCGATTTTCGATTTTCGATTTTCGATTTTCGATTTTCGATTTTCGATTTTCGATTTTCGATTTTCGATTTTCGATTTTCGATTTTCGATTTTCGATTTTCGATTTTCGATTTTCGATTTTCGATTTTCGATTTTCGATTTTCGATTTTCGATTTTCGATTTTCGATTTTCGATTTTCGATTTTCGATTTTCGATTTTCGATTTTCGATTTTCGATTTTCGATTTTCGATTTTCGATTTTCGATTTTCGATTTTCGATTTTCGATTTTCGATTTTCGATTTTCGATTTTCGATTTTCGATTTTCGATTTTCGATTTTCGATTTTCGATTTTCGATTTTCGATTTTCGATTTTCGATTTTCGATTTTCGATTTTCGATTTTCGATTTTCGATTTTCGATTTTCGATTTTCGATTTTCGATTTTCGATTTTCGATTTTCGATTTTCGATTTTCGATTTTCGATTTTCGATTTTCGATTTTCGATTTTCGATTTTCGATTTTCGATTTTCGATTTTCGATTTTCGATTTTCGATTTTCGATTTTCGATTTTCGATTTTCGATTTTCGATTTTCGATTTTCGATTTTCGATTTTCGATTTTCGATTTTCGATTTTCGATTTTCGATTTTCGATTTTTTTCGATTTTCGATTTTCGATTTTCGATTTTCGATTTTCGATTTTCGATTTTCGATTTTCGATTTTCGATTTTCGATTTTCGATTTTCGATTTTCGATTTTCGATTTTCGATTTTCGATTTTCGATTTTCGATTTTCGATTTTCGATTTTCGATTTTCGATTTTCGATTTTCGATTTTCGATTTTCGATTTTCGATTTTCGATTTTCGATTTTCGATTTTCGATTTTCGATTTTCGATTTTCGATTTTCGATTTTCGATTTTCGATTTTCGATTTTCGATTTTCGATTTTCGATTTTCGATTTTCGATTTTCGATTTTCGATTTTCGATTTTCGATTTTCGATTTTCGATTTTCGATTTTCGATTTTCGATTTTCGATTTTCGATTTTCGATTTTCGATTTTCGATTTTCGATTTTCGATTTTCGATTTTCGATTTTCGATTTTCGATTTTCGATTTTCGATTTTCGATTTTCGATTTTCGATTTTCGATTTTCGATTTTCGATTTTCGATTTTCGATTTTCGATTTTCGATTTTCGATTTTCGATTTTCGATTTTCGATTTTCGATTTTCGATTTTCGATTTTCGATTTTCGATTTTGGATTTTGGATTTTCGATTTTCGATTTTCGATTTTCGATTTTCGATTTTCGATTTTCGATTTTCGATTTTTTGATTTTTCGATTTAGAAAATATCGTTATGAAAAGTATCGCCTATCTTGAGTTATCTACCGGAATGTGCCAGAATTACAAAAGCGTGAATTATCATAATTCACTCCGTGATATATGGGTACTATATGCTTTTAGTTAGGAGGTAGAATATTGATTTATTATTAAGAGGTCGTGGACAAAACATGTTAAGTGATGTGTCACATAACATAATTTGCACAAAAATTCAAAATGCAGGAAAATAATGTTATCTACTTCACTTAACATGTTTTACTTGAAAAATGTTGTAAAAATTAATTTTACTAACCTCTAAATTTTCTTGGTTTTCCGATGCATGTATCCATCTTTTCACTATTTTTAAAAATATTATGCACACATGTTAAGTACTGCCACCATGTTGTTTGACACTTACCAAGTTTTACTTGCAACTGTCATGATTCCATTTAACACGTTTTGCTAGATAGCGGTATAACACAAATAAGCCGCTTGGCGGGAAATTTACATTGTTCCATAAAATAGATGTGTACTTAACATATTTTACAAGCAATAAAAAAAAATTCTTCACTTTGTCACTTAACATATTTTACGCCCGAGGCCTTCAAATATGAAAAATTCGTAAACATTTCATATAATATGAAAAATATGCCAAATATGAAAATTTCATAAATGCCTCACTATGTCCATTCCTTATTTTTATTCCTTGTTTTTTTGTTTGTTTTATTAAACTAGTAAAAACTAATGATTTTTGTCCATTAGTGTTCATTGTTTTAACTTTAATGTAATAATATTATCACAGCAGTCTGGATGATAAATGATAAAAAAATAAACAATATTCTATAAAAAAATTTGAGGCAGTTATATGAAAATCCTCTCTACTTCACTGCTCCTGCAATCGATAAAGCCAGTTAAATTTCCGAAATAATTCGTTGATTAAACATAGTTTATGTTTGATTCAGTTCTAACTGAAATAATGTAATTACATTTGTATCACTCTGATGTTTATATTAACACAAAATCATATACGAATTAAGCAAATCAATTATTTGCGGACGGCAGTCACCTCTTTAGTGCTAATTTGGCCGGATTTATGTGTACGTCAATCAAATGTTATCTATATACACATTCAATTAGTTTTATTAATACGGAAATGATAATTTTGATTAAATTATAAAGAAGGTTAATATCGATTTCTAGTTTAGACGCATACTTTACCTATTTTAGAACGAAGTATAATATTTATAATTTTGAAATATCACACACAGTACTTGGTAAATAAAAACGCTTGCTGATAAAGAGTCTTCAACATAACATCCCTCGTGACCAAATTAATAAATCAGGGGTCTAATATCAAAAGCAGTCTACTCCAAATTTTCCAATTGAAGCTTTTTGTGTCGTACTGGTTTAAAATGTTTGTTTATTAACACGTTCGCGGACAAAGCGGCATATGCCGCGCTATGTGCAGGGTCAAAGCGCAATATGCCGTCCAACCTTGAGACGCCACAGAAGCTAAAGCGTGAATTACCGCGCCTTAGTACATAGTAAGTTATGGGCAACAAAAATCAAAATATATCGTGAAATGTTCTCTCATAAAATTTTACTACATCGAATATTCTAGTTGTAAGCACAGGTGTTGGGTGTTCGTTTGAACCTAAAAAGTGATCTTTTTCGTTGTTTTAAATGGTGTTTTGTTGTTCTTCAATAGTATTTTTGTGGGGTAAGTGAGTTTTTGGTTTATTTTCTGATATACTTTCAGTTTTAAATAAAAACGATTCCAAATGTTTATTTTGAGGTTATGTAAGCAATTTACTTTGAGGTATAAAATTATTGAAAACTGACTATAATAACTGAAAAATCTCTTTAGCATTAAGAAAGTGGCCTAATCAGTTTCTATATAGTGGGCGTCCTATAATATAATTCATTATTTATTAGTAATGCCCCAATAGAATAAATATTTTGTAGGGAGGGGATTTTGTAACAAAATTCTGGCAATAATAATTTCAAGAATCTTTTTGGTCCTGAATTTTTTTTCTGATATGCAGAACCAACTGGCTACTGCATTATATAGTGCGTGTTCGAAAATATATTATTTTAGCTTATCTCTCTACCTACACTAAATGGGGTTTTATGGTGTTGAAATATTTTGAAATTAGTCAGTATAACATACAGCATAAAATAACAAATGTATTTTATAGGGGGGTCAAAATGTTGGGCTAATTTTTATTTGTTGTGTGCAAGGTCAACTTTTTCTTAATAGAATATGGATCCGACAGAAGAAGCAAGGCTTCTGCGACTGTTGCAGGAAGTAAGTTCCTGCGAAAGTGAAACTTCTAGCTCTGGTCCATTTAGCAGCGATGACGACGTGGCAGACCCAACGTATCAATCTGAAGATAACTCTATAAATTCGTCCGAAAAGGCCGACTCTTCTGCGGATGAAGATAATGTTCAACGGGAAAATGTATTTCCAAAAGATGCGGACAGTGGATCTCCAGAAGATACGGACAGTAGAGAAGAGTGGTGCGATATAATTTCCAATTTTGAATTTGACGAATCAGGCTCGGACTGTTTTGAGAAGTTTTGCGATAACGAAATCATGGAAATGGTGCTTCTTTCAATGAACACTTACGCTCGTATTTTACAGAATACCAATCACCCCCAAAGAAAGTACTGCAGATATTCCAATACAAACCCGATTACAATAAATGAGTTGAAGCAATTTATTGGAATATGTGTTCTTCAAGGTCAGATAAAATATCCTTCTATAAGGAAAGTGTTCTCCATGAATCCTTTATACTACTCTCCAGTTTTTAACTATACGCTCTCAGGCAGGAGATTTAAAGAGATTTAAGGTGTTTTTCGTGCTCATATGCCCAGGAAGTTGAGCCCACCGACAGATTGAATAAAGTGTCACCCTTACTAAACAAACTACTGCATAATTTTCAAAATGCCTACTCTCCATCAGAGGAGCTATCACTAGATGAATCGCTTTTACTTTTTCGTGGTCGCCTTAGTTTTAGGCAGTACATCAAAGGCAAACGAGCTAGATACGTTATAAAGTTTTACGTTATTGAAAAGTGGTTTATTTCTATTAGAGGCTATCGAAGTAGCATGTGATAATGATAGATACATTCTCCGGTAGTGCAGGGATGATTCTCCAGTTTCATAGTAGATACTTTCAAAAAGGAAAGTGCGAAAGGCTCCCAGAGCAATACGAAGAGCAGCATTGTGTACAGTGTCTAACAGTTTCAAAGTGGTTTTGCTGGCTGATCCATATGCAATAGACCCGTAATCAATCTTTGATCTTATTAAAGTTTTATAAATTGTTATTGCTCCTAACTGTTGTACCTCGACTAGTTCTAAAATTTAATTTAAATTAACGTCGAAAAGAGGGTCGTGGAATAAACAATAATAAGCGGGTATTCCAGGAAACTGTGGTGGTTTAATTTCGGTTACAATTAATTTACAGATACTACAGAAATTAAAGTGAGACTTTAAATATTAAAATTGAAGAGTTGTTAAAATTCATGCACAATATTATTATTCCAATTGGTACCAATCGTTTACAGATTTTATAAATGATATATTTACACATGCATCTATTTAATAATAGCAGCCTTTTACTGTTGGTTAATTATAAAAATAAAATAATAGAATAACATGCAACGCGTTTAGAGAAACCACAGATGACTTAACACGTGGTGTTGGTTGGCCTTTAAGAGAATGTAAATAGGTAAGAAAATAAATTTAATAATCCACAAAATGTGATTTCAGACTTCTGAATATATTATTTTCTTTCCTTAAAGAGATGATTGAATTGCTTTATTGGGTGCAAAAATCCGAAATGAAAAAAGAAATAGTAGAAGCACATGCTACAGTTGCTAACCCCAAAAGCAGAATGACCAGAAGCTTGAAGGACAAAACCAGGCTGACCACTGGTCAGTGATGGTATCCCTGTCATTTTAAATATTTGTCACTACTTAAACAGACCTTAACTAAATAGAAGAAGTAGTAGGTGATCTAAACATGCTTATCAGTAGAGGCCTAACCCAAGAAAGGTATATGAAGAAGAAATAGAAAAAAAATAGAAAGAAATCATTTGGAATATAAACAAATAAAATGATGGACTTTTATATTAACTATTTAATTGGTTGCTATTGTGTTTTATTATATATGAGAAATAAGTGATGCATTTTTAATTATCGCTTCTAATAATCATGAAAGCAGTAAATTATAATAGCAAAATACGCTGCACCAAATAAATAAACTAATTAATTAGAACCTGTAACAAAATGGTTAGTAAGATATGACAATTTGAGCATTAGTTTCTGTTTGCCAGAGTCTTCATTATGTTTAGTCTCTTATGACAGTAAAGGGTTAAATGTTTTATGTGTTCTTTTCAGGATAGCTTTTGGTCGAATCACATTCCCAACAACTTTACTGATGGTTTGAAAGATATATTTTGGTTAAATAACTGTAAAACTGGAAAGATAACAGAAGTTTTCTTGGAGAATACAATTCCAACAGTTTTTATCACAAAAAAAATAAATCCTGTATCAAGAGACCTTTGCTCCAATTTCATCAAAAAGTTTTGCAGAAAAGTTGACATAATATCCACTTTTTTATGTTTAATATAGATCAGCATATAAGCGTGATTTTAAAGGTGTTGTTAAGCTTTTTATTATGTCATTTATAGCAACCAGAAACACTGTAGGACTAATTATAGACCCTTGTGGAGTTCCATTGTCTTCGTTTTGATTTTCCGAAAACGAATTATTTACTCTTACACGAAATGATCTATCCTTCAGAAAATTTTTAATAAAAGCCAGACAGTTGCCACGAATATTCCACGAGTGAAGTTTTCTTAGAATGTTAAATCTCCAGCAGGTGTTAAAAGCTCTTTTTATGTCGAAAAACATTGCTATACAAGTGTGTTTTGTTGCTAGGGATTCGTGAATTTCGCTTTTTAGATCCAAAATATTATCGATCCCAGATCGGTTTTGTCTAAAATCGTTTTGCTCGGAGATTAAGTGGCTAGAATTTTCCAAGTCCACATGAGTCCATGGTTGATTATTTTTTCTAGTAGCTTACTCATGGAGCACGTTTAACTTATGGGTCTGTAAGATTCAGGTTACAAACGAGGTTTTTGATTTTTTAGAAGAGGAAGGACAATAACTTTAGACCACAGACATGGAAAGAGATGTTGGTGTCATATTAAATAAAATAGTTGGAGAAGATGTTTTTGCAGAAAGGGGAAGATGTTTTAAAAATATTACTGGAATATTGTCTGGTCCGGGGCGCATATTTACACACTCTGCTATACGACGGTACCAAGGTGCTCAAATTTGTTAGCCTTTCGGCTACAATTACGCTACAAAAGCTCATTTATTTAGGCACCAATGTATGAGGCCTCTCTTATTGCTGGAATCAGTAAGCAAGCTTATCTACATTCTATAAAATAATGGCTTTACTTAAATTGCCGTTATACGATCGTGTACTAAAATTCCGTTAATAGACATGATGTCATTCAAATGACGCATGTGAAGTGTTTTGGGATTAAAAAAAAGAAACTATACTAGAAGAAAACGAAGTAACGACTACTCGCCACCAAAAAATTTTAACGCTTACCTGTCTACGCCTACCGGCATATACTCCAACGGCCTGGACACAGCTCAAATTGAAAAGAAAAGTCTCAAATAACATAAAATTTGTATGGGTGCCTAAATCAGTGAGCTTTTGTAGCGTACTTGTAGGCTACAAAGGCGAACAGATTTTAGCACTCCGGTGCCGTCATATAGGAGGATGTGTAAATATGCGTCCGGGGCTTATATTTTTAAGATCTAGGAGATAATTACTTAATTCAGATATAGTAAGAGGGAGGTTTAAAGGAACATCATCATTATTATTCTGGTCTAAAAAGAGGTCTATGTTTTCGGTGACTAATTTGTTATTGAGAAATTCTAAATCGTAGTTATCATTTGATGACATTTTTTTTTAATTTGTGGCTAAGACGTTTGCTATCTCTAGTGGATAAGTTATTACCATATCATTAACTTTCAAACTAGAAATTTTTGGAGTGTATTTTAGGCCTGAGATTTTTCTAATTCTATTCCAGTGATAGGAGTTGAGCTGTTTATTTCTGAGATATATTGAATCCAGGATGTTCTTTTCGTTTTATTGATCACAAGGTGTGCTGTCGATTTAAGTATTTTGAATTCTGTCTTATTTTTCAGTGTTTTATATCTTTATACTTATTTAAAGCGGTTTTGCTTTCTCGGATTACTTTCTCGCAGTTTGTATTCCACCAAGGTACAGGAACATGGTTGTTCACAATTTAAGTTTTTTTAATAAATAAATCAGCGGCTTCCAAAATAATTTTGTTGAAGTCCGACAGAGATTCGTCGATATTATTGCTTATTATGCAGATTTGTATTTTATTATCTATATAACTCTCAAAGCTAGACCAATTCGCCGAATTAAGTTTCCATTTTGGCAAGAACGTATCGACCGGGTGGCTAGAATTATTTTTAATTAATATAGGGTG